TGTCACCGCTCTGCGTCCTCCCCGAGTGGTGGCCGCCAAGATGAGCGGGGCGAAGGCATATACCCGCAGCCACCCCGCGTCGTCAGATGCCCCCCGGAGCACAGTCTCAAACAGGGCGGCGACCTGCGGTTTCGCCGTTGTGGGGACCCTGTTCAGGGTGGGCACATTGGCCGCGGCTACCTGGGCAAAGGTGAACGGGAGCGCCGCCCCCTGAAACCATCTCCCCGGGGCCGCCTCCCCCCCTGGGGCCGCCTGCCCCCCCGGGGCCGGGGGGGGCGGGGGCCTCCGCACTGGCTCCAGCCCAGCGGCCACTCGACCTTGGTAGGCCCGGGAGCGGGGGCACCAACTGCAATGCCTGCCCCTCCGCTCCCCGGGTCCCGCCGCATCCCTGCAGATGCAGACCGCCGCTCCTCCTTGCGGCCCGGCCGGCTGAGCCCTAACCGGTGGCGGAGGTACCGGTGGCACGACAGGAATTACTACGGGCGGGGCCGCGGGCGGCTCCCCTGGCGGCCCGGGATTGGGGTGGATGTCCCCGTCGCAACACAGGTCGTCTCCTCCGCGCCCGGAGGAAACGACCTGTGCGGCGGCGGAGTCATCCATCCCTGTGGCCGCCCAGTGAGCCTGTCGGCCCCTCCTTCGTGGGCCCGGGTGCCGGGGGACGTCCCCGTCGTCGCACGGGTCGTCGCCGCCCCTTCCCAAGGAGACGTGAATCTCCGGGTCCGGGCTTGCTATCCCGGCCGCGTGCGCCACCCTCACGCTGTCCGGGAACAGGACGGGCGTAAGTGGCCAGCTGGACTGCGGGGGACCCGGGGGTTGGCTCTCCATGGCCGCTCCCCTCCCCTGGCCGGGCTGCGCCAACCTGTCCTTCACCCGCGCGGCGATGGCTCGCACTGAGGCGACCAGGCCCGCGCCCCTCCCCAGGCCCGTGTCGGGCTTCTGCCTCACCGGGGCCGGCGTCCCGACGGGCGATCGTGACGCGGGGCGCTTGGCTCCAGTCGCCGGAGTCCCAAGCGTGGCCCCGCACACCCTCTCCAGAAGGCGTTGGCTCGCCGCGTCTACCGGGGGTCGCTGCTGCGGTTCCGGTGATCCGACCCCCGGAGCGGGGGTGCCGGATCCGCCGCTGACGTCTCGCTGCTCAGAGGCCGAGGCTTGCTCCGAACCCTGCGCCGGCTGGCTCGGCCCGGGCGCCGGCGAACCCGGCCGAAGGAAGCCCCCATCCATCGCCTCGGCCCCCTCCGACAGGAAGCTGGGCTCCGACGGCACGTACCCCCAGGTGAGCCCGGACGGGGGGGTCTCCCACCCTTCCTCGGGGCCTCCCGGCCGTCTGCGGCGCACGGCCGCCGGCGTACCGACCGGGGACCGCGATGCGGGGCGCTTGGCCCCCTGCCCCTGGTGGGCTTCAGAGCCCCCGGCCGGCGCCTCGGCCTGGCCCGGTTGCTGGGCTCCTTCCCGGCAGCCTCCTCCCGGGGGTTCTCGCTGATCGGACCCTCCCTCCGCTGCTGGCGCTTCGGCCGACGGCTGGCTCGGCGGCGCTGCGCCCGCCCCCGCGCCCCCGTCTCCGGGGTCGGGGCCTCCCTTGTCCCCCCCGTCGGCCCGCGGAGCACCCGCCCCCTCTTGAGCCAGTTCGTCGTCCGACTCGGAGCCCGAATCCGACCCGTCCTCGCCCGGTCCAGAGCCAGTCCCGGACTCGGAATCCGGAAAGGGGTTCGCCTCCGAGCTCCCTCGCAGGGCGCTCAGGTCCACCCCGTGCCTGAACTTCCGGCTATGCCGCCTGTCCCGTGCCGAGCTGGCTTGGGCGGCGCCTGCGAGGGCGGCCGGGCCGGCCTCGCCGCCAGCCGCGACGTGGTCGGCCCGGACTCCCTCGCCTCCGGCGGCCGCGGGTTCGGCCTGGGCGGCCGCTGCTCGGTCGGCCTGGTCGACCTCGCCACTAGCGGCGACGGGGTCGGCCCGGACGGCCTCGCACCCGGCGGCGGCCGCGGCGGCAGGTTCAGCCCGATCGACCTCGCCCCCAGCGGCGGCGGGGTCAGCCTGGCTGGCCTCGCACCTGGCGACTGCGGGGTCGGCCAGGTCGACCTCGCCACAAGCGGCGACGAGGTCGGCCTGGACGGCCTCGCACCCGGCGGCTGCGGGGTCGGCCAGGCCGACCTCGCCACAAGCGGCGACGAGGTCGGCCTGGACGGCCTCGCCCCTGGCGTCTGCGGGGTCAGCCAGGTCGACCTCGCCACAAGCGGCGACGAGGTCGGCCTGAACGGCCTCGCACCCGGCGGCGGCGGGTTCTGCCTGGACGGCAACGGGGTCAGCCTGGGCCTGGTCGCCCTCCCTGCTTGCCGGCAACGACTGCGCCCTGGGACGCCCCGCCGGGACTAGCTCGACGTCCCGAGGAGTCGCCGGCGAGGACGCCGCCGACGACCTCGGGAAGTCCACCTCCTCGTCAAAGAGGCGGCGCCCCACCGGCAGATCGCCGGCCTGGGGGGCCTCGGATGCCTCACGCATCCCAGCGTCCCTTCCGGCCGGCTCCTTTGGCCCAGGGGCTACCGGCGGCGGGAGGAACGCAAACCCCTGGTGGGGCACCCTCGCCGCCCGCGGTGCGCTCGGCACCAGTGCCCTCTCGGCCTCCTCTTGTGGGGCGAGCCCCCGCAAGATCTCCTGCATCTCGCCGAGAGATGCGTCCATCTCGGCGACGTGGGCTACGACGAGCTCGTCGTAGCCCCGACTCGCGGTCTCCCTGCGGTGCTGGGAGGCGTGCTGAGCGGCCTCGCCGGCGGAGGCGCTCAACCGCCCGCAAAGGCCACAGAGGGCCACCACCGGCGTGGCGGCCCAGCTGCGAAACCACTGGAGGTGTTCTTCCTCCAGCGCCTCCGCCTCCGCCTGCGCCCGGCGGACTCTCGCCCAAGCGTCCAGAACCGCGGGAAGCTGCGGTCCCTCCGGGAGCTCGTCGACGGCGTGTAGCGCCGTGGCCTGCACACCCTTGCTGGAGCGTGCAGGCCTCGGCCCGGTTGTCTGTGCTGTGTGTGTTTGTTTGGTTCGCAAAGGGGGGGGGTGGTACGAGCGGTTCGCAAACGGCGCTGTGGGTTTGTTGTTTGAAAAAAAGGGGCGTACCTCCCCCGCGCGCTGGTGCCGGTCCGGGCACCGGGTGTTCCGGCATCTACCCTGCTTGAAGGCAGGGCAAATGGGGAGCAACCGGTGCTCGTACCGGCACTGGCTACGACGACAGCCTGCGCGCCGGAAGTTGAAGTTCCGACAGACTTCCTCCTTCCGGCCTGCGGGCTGCGCCGTGTTCACACGGGTGTCGGCGGCTGCGGCTGCGGCGACTGCGGCTGCGGCGGGAGCGCGTCTTCCCTGCCTCAGCGCCTCGGCGAACGTCGGGACGGCGGCATCGACGGCGGCATCGACAGCGGCGGCGGCGGAAGCGTCCTCTCCCCGCGCGACCGCCTCAGCGAACGTCCGGGGGGCGGCCCGGAGAGACGCGGCGAACGCAGCGGCGTCCGTCGGTGTCCGTGTCGCGGCGGCGGGGCACGCGAACCCCGGCCACCCGGCCGTCGACAGGGCCGCTGCCCCTGCCGAGAAGGCAGCGGCCAGCTCCCGGCTGCCCGTCCCTGCTCCGAGGGCGGCAGCAGCCGTCCCGGCCCCGCCCGCCGGAGCGGGGGGCCCGCCACCCCCCGGGTCGGGGGCGGCCATGCGTGTGTTGGTGTGTGTGTGTGTGCTTTTCTCAACGATTTCGCGTTTTTTTTTTTTTTTTTGAAATTGAAATTGATGTTGAAATTGAAATTGAAATTGAATTTTTTTTTTTGGAGCGCGGGACACTGTACTTGCCATGTTGGTACAGCGGGGCTGCCGGTATCCGGTTGCTTCCGGAGCGGTAGTCCAAAGAAATGCTTCTTCAGCACACTGTGAACGCCTGTCTCACAGCGACACGGGACTGGCCTGCGCGTGACTGCTAACAGGTCCGACCCGGTAAAAAAACCCGCGATGCAGTGACTCTACCCCCTGCATCAGGGTGGATCCGCTTCGTCCGGTCGCGCCCCACCAGATGCAATGACGATCCTTGCCACCCCTCGGGCTATAGAAAAGCTCAAGCGGTGGAAGAGGTCCTGGCAGGCGGCCGAAACGGTCCGGTCTTCACGGAGGGCGTTGGCGCGGGCAATGTGCCGCAGCTCCGTGATTGCTCCTGGGCACCAGGCCCCGAACGTGTCTACAACTAGCGGCACCGCCTTCCATTCCCGCGGGTCTGGCTCATTGGCAATGATTGCGTTGTAGACACGCTCCTTGACGGCTACAGCGTACGCGGCTGCTGCGCCCCCTGGCTCCGCCGCCGCCCGGGCTGCGTAGTGCGGCTGCGAGAGTTGTAGGGGGTACGTGACAGCGACGTCAAGTAGGACGGTGGTGCCATCCCGGACGTAGCTGATGTCCGGGCGCTTGCGCCGCGCGTTAGCGAACACGGCTCGCTCGATGGAAGGACCGAGCAGTCCTCGTCGAGCGAAGTCGGCGACGATGTCACGCAGCGCGTTGTGAAGGCGCGTTCGGCGGCCGCTGCCGAAACACGTCTGGGCGTGCGATCCGTTGACGTCGGTCGCACCGTGCCCGCAAAGGCGGCACTCCCCCGGCGCGGCCGCAATTGGAAGCCCCAACCGAAGCCGGACTGCCACCGCCAGCTCGGCCGGAGACAACCACATTGTGGTATCCGCCTCAGGGTTGCCGTACAACCACGCCGAAGCGTGCTTGCCGGAGCCGCTTTGGATCCGCGCCCGGATCCGGTCTTGAGCCCGGGTCAGGGCCTGACCCTGCAGTTGGCCGGAGTGGCCGAGCTCCTCCGTCAGCGACTCGAGAAGGTTCTTCCTCTTCTCGGTGGCCAAGGCGGACGACCATGCCTTCTGTCCTCGCCCCTCGTACTCGGCTCGTGCCTGCATGACGTCCTGGATCTTCTCCAGGACGGATTCATAGGTTGCAAGGCGCGGGTCGACGAGGGACGCTTGGACGGTGTCGTCCTTTTTTTTTTTACCGGGCGTTTAGCTCAGTGGTAGAGCGCCCGTTCTGCATACGGGAGGCCGTGGGTTCGAACCCCACAATGTCCACTTTTTCCGACTACTGGGGCGCGACGTCACGAACGACTCCAGACTGCAGTGTGAGGTTTAGCTACAAAAAGCTATAGCTAGCTACAGCGTAGCTTTTTGTAGCCTTTTGTAGCCTTTTGTAGCTCTTTTTTTTTGGGGGGGTTCCCAGCCCGTTCAGGATACTTTTTGCCCCAATTTCTTCAGTTTCGAAGTTTTCTGGGCATATTTTGGCGTGTTTCCTGGCACCTGCTTTGCCCTGTGCACTGAGGCCTCACTGCCGGGCCCTGCACTGCAGCCTACCGAGCCTCAGTGAGGGTCGGTGAGGGGGTCAAATCCCATTCACGAGCATTCTCAAAACTTTTTGCCCATTCACGAGCATGCTTGAACTTTTCGCCCATTCACGAGCATTCTCGAAGTTTTTGCCCATTCACGAGCATGTTTTAACTTTTCGCCCATTCACGAGCACTGCCATTCCCATTCACGAGCATGATTTTTTTTTTAGCCCATTCACGAGCATTCCTCAATAGTTTTAGCCCATTCACGAGCATAGCCTAACTTTTTGCCCATTCACGAGCATGCTTCAAACTTTTTGCCCATTCACGAGCATGCTCAAAACTTTTTGCCCATTCACGAGCATGCTCAAAACTTTTTGCCCATTCACGAGCATGCTCAAAACTTTTTGCCCATTCACGAGCATGCTCAAAACTTTTTGCCCTTCACGAGTATTCTTATTTTTTTTGCCCAATCACGAGAATTCAAGCATAACTTGCCATAAGTCAAATTGGCTCAAGCTACCGAGTGCACATTACACGTGTAGGCGAGTTCAAACTTTCAGCCGTTCAGCTTAGAGCAGGATCAGTTCAATTCTGTCGCTCCCATTCGGTGATACGGATCTCTCAACAGCTCAGTCGTGCATGTCATGACTGTCCAGTTCTGTTTTGTGTTTCCGACGATCCCGTTTTTCTCAATTACGTTTCCTTCTTCAAGTGTTTCCTAATAGTTTTGCGTCGCCGACCATGATGAAAGTCGGCCCGTTTAAAACGGCGTTTTGGGTATTACCGTACTTTGGGTATTGACACCGGCCTGCTCTGACAGATGTATTTCGACCTTTGAGTTTTTTTCTTAGCCACATGCAATGTGTGAGGAAACTGAACTGCCCAAGTAGGACCTTCTGATCATGATCATTTGCCAAATTTACCACCTGAAACCACGTCCAGGATTTGGCTCAGGGTAGTGCGGTCAAAAAAAAGTGACGTGGCTCTTACTATTTACGCACAGCCGTTTGTTTGTGCGTATGTGTATCACCTGTATGGTAATTTCCACAGTACGCTGCCAACCGTCACTTTTTGATAATGACAACCGCGGTTGTTACCATAAAAAAACTTTCCCTTTCTACGTTTTCCTACTCTCGCGGTGTACGGTTTCCTTGTTTGGTCATTTGAAAAATCGAATCTCGAGTCCAAGAACTACTGCAACTCACTGACTTAGAGCAAGTTAGACACATCCTGAACAGTACCCCTTGCAGAACCAGGATTGAACCAGGATTGTGTTGTCGTTGACTGAGAATCAAGGGAGACAAGCTTTGAGATTTCGTCGCGAGGTGACCCCTCGCCCGCTAAAATGCCCCCTCTCGGGCTCACCCCCTCGCCATTTTTTTTCGCGTCAAAGTTCCTGTTCTGGCCCTCGGCTCCCTTTGTAAAAAGGTTGAGCTCTGGGCCGGTGCGGGAGCTTCCCGGCGCGGAGAAGAATGGAGATGGCCATGGTCACCTTTACCACTTTTTCTTCATCGGGTTTGTTAGGCTGCCGCATATTAGGCATGAGCCTGTGCGGTCGCAAAGCCGGGAACTTTGCCATTATAGTCCACGATTCTTACTGGGGGGGGTCGAATACAAGAGGTACCTCTTCTATTCGGCGTGCCGATCCTGCAATTTTCCCGAAAAAGAAATGGAAAAAAGTACCGCAAACCCGGAAACCGCGGGAACTCCCTTCTTCTTGAAAGACGCACGTAATTTGTGGTCCCCGGGTCTATTTTTCACGGTTCTCTTCATCGGAGCTGAACGCGAGCACAAATTCGCCGGGCAAAAAGGTCTGCAACATGCTCGTGAATGGGCAAATATTTTGAAGCATGCTCGTGAATGGGCAAAAAGTTTTGAGCATGCTCGTGAATGGGCAAAAAGTTAGGCCATGCTCGTGAATGGGCGAAAAGTTAGGCCATGCTCGTGAATGGGCGAAAAGTATGGCCATGCTCGTGAATGGGCAAAAAGTTTAAGGTGCTCGTGAATGGGCAAAAAGTTTGAAACATGCTCGTGAATGGGCAAAAAGTTAAGCCATGCTCGTGAATGGGCAAAAAGTTAAAGATTGCTCGTGAATGGGAATTGACCCTCGGTGAGGCTGCAACCACGCAGGCGGCGAGGGTGATGCAGCAGGGAAGCCTGGGGCGCCAGAGCCACGACGGTTCCATGAAGCGAAGCCAATCAGGACCCCAACCGAACCGCAGAGCGAAGAGCACTCGAGACAGTGTGGGCCCGGAGCCCCGGGCTGGAGCTCTCATTGCACTCCAGAGCCCCGGGCTGGGTCAGGTATTTGGCCGGTACCACCACTTACCAACACTTGGGCAGATGCTGCAGTGTGGACTGCCGAAGCCACCGTTTAGACCAGTCACTCCCCGTCGGACGGGGGCCCCCAAAAGCCCCTCGGGGCCTCCTGGGGATTCGCCACAAGAAGAACGCACTCACCTGCCATTTGGAAGATAGTGGAGACCATTATCAAAGACCGCCCCACGTTCCTCCATCGATGGACTGACTCCTCAGTCCGTAGACTTCCGGGTAGGGAGAGGCACAGAGAAGCAGCTCTACACCGTGACGGCGGCAATCAACCGGAAAAAAGTCCGATTCACATGCTGCTCGTCTTCGACCTGGCGCGCGCTTTCGACGGGCACACGCTCCCGGCAGGCGCGACTCCCGGCAAGAGCACGCCGCTCAGCACGAATCAAAAACGCAGTCCGGCCACTAAAGCATTAAAGTAGTGAGCGATCTGCGACAAAACGTGGTCACGGAATCGTGTGAGCGGCCTGCAGATGCAGGTACTGGGTGGTCGTTCGGTAAGGTCACACTCGTCAGCCGAAACCCTTGTAGGCTTCAAATTGAAGTTCAATGGCCGGCAGCTCGAAGAAAGTCTCCATTCCCAGCTGAGTCATCACCTGTTCAAGACTGCTGGATCTGGCGGAAACGCCGACTGAACCCGGAGGCCTTGCCGATCCTTACCGCACCCCCAGACTCTGCAGACGTCGCCGCCACCGCGCTACGAACGCGTGGCTGTCACTCCGCTGTGCTTGTTCCGCGGCACTGCTGCCGGCAGCCACACTCTCATCATCCCAGTTTTCACAAACCGAGAGAGCTCATCCAAATTATGATCAAGGAAGCAATACGAGACGTGTCACGAAACTTTAGCCTGCAACGCAGCACACGTTGAGCCGTGCGACTTGCACTGCCCTGACTGCGAGCGGGGTGCTGCGGGTGACTGTACTAGTAGTACAGAACAGTGTGGGGGCTGGCACCGGTGCTGGCCGGTGCCCGGTAACAGGAGGGTCGGCTACCGCGATGCTCGCCGAGAAGCGTCAGACTCTGAATCAAGACCGAACTGATGCTGATGCAGAATGTCGGGCAAAAAGCTACTCTTGGTGAAAGACTCCAGGTGCAGCCACGGTCCGGCTGTCTTACTGTCCTGCCCGTACTGTAGAGGGCCAGTACACAAAGCTAAGGATACGCACGTGTTTTTGTATTGGTTTTGGTCCAAGTTTGGAAGTCCCTGCCGGGGCTCAACCTCGCGCGGAGAGCCCCGCGGCGGCACTGGGAATGGATCTACTGTTGAAACGTTGAAACAGTAGAAACTGCCCCCCTGTTGTAGTAGTCCATTCTCAGCCCCGGAGAAAAAAGAGCCCCGGCACCGGCCAGCCCCCAGACCGCACGACTGACTGACAGGGGCGGCCGATTTCCTTGGTTGTTTTCAAAGTGCGCACCCGAAGAACAACCCATTCTTGGGCCAGCTCAGCCCCGAAGCCCCGGGGCCAGCCTCCACACTGTTGGACTCGCTATTGTAGCCTGCAGTTGCAAGAGCCTTCCCCTACTGCAGCCTGTGCCAGTGCAGGAGACCGTACACTGCTACAGAGCAAGAACGTGAACGCTGCTGACACTGAGTGACTGACAGACGCCACAATCGTCAAAAAAAGTGGAAAATCAGGCGGAATTCGGGTTTGGGTGACGTTTCACATGGGTTTGAATCGTATTTTGATAGCACAAAAAAAAGGCTACAAAAGGCTACAAAAAGCTACAAGAGCTACAGTAGCTAAAAACTGTAGCAGCTATAGCTGCTACAAAAGGCTACTGTAGCTAAACCTCACACTGTCCAGAGGAGGAGCGGGCCAATCAAGATTTGAGTGATGCTACTCTTACAGTAGAAGCTGCAAAGAAAAAGTGCCAGTCGTCTGAAAATAATCAGGCTGGGGGCGGCGCTCCCGTTCACCTTTGCCCAGGTAGCCGCGGCCAATGTGCCCACCCTGAACAGGGTCCCCACAACGGCGAAACCGCAGGTCGCCGCCCTGTTTGAGACTGGGGCATCTGACGACGCGGGGTGGCTGCGGGTATATGCCTTCGCCCCGCTCATCTTGGCGGCCACCACTCGGGGAGGACGCAGAGCGGTGACAGAGGCCCTCCGCCGCCGGGTCAGACTCTGGAGGGACGGCCTGTTCGGGACGCTCTGGTCGGAGGCCTTGGCCATCACGGCTGGGAAGGCTCAAGGTCGCGCGCGCCGGCGTGCCTACCCGGTCGAGGACAACGACCACAGGGTCGAGCTCCAGACGGCGGTCAGGTCAGTGGATGACCTGGACGCCCCCACCGTGCGCCAGGTCATCAAGCGGGCGCGGGACCGGTGTTACTCGCGGGCGGTGTCGGCGCTTTCGGCAGCGCAGACGGCCCCGCCAGACGAGGCCACCATGGCGCAGCTCAGGGCCCTCCACCCGGCTG